GCACTGACTGACCGTCTCCCTTCTGCTTCTTGCCTCCCGCAGCTGGCAAAGGAGAGCGAGCGTCTCCAAGCAATGATGGCCCATCTTCACATGAGACCTTCAGAGCCAAAGCCTTTCAGCCAACCTGTAAGCGTGCGTCCCGCTCCTGTCCTTGTACGTCCCCGCAGCTGCCCCCTTTCCTCCCCTTTCCCCTCGCCGCTGACTGCCGTCCCCTCCCTGCCCCGTGCACGGTCACCACGGCCCTGCGTGGCCCGGTGGGATGGGCTCCCCGGGATGGGCATGCCCTGACCACGCTCTGGCCCGCATAGCCTGGTCCCTTGTGCTGGTGCCAGGCATCAAGCAGGAGGGAAAGTCAGCGTTGTGCTGCTCTGTCAGCTCGGACATGTAGTGGAGGCATCCCGTTCCATGGTTGCATCCTCATCCCATGGTTGCATCCCATCCTGTGGTCACATTCTCTCCTGTGGTTGCATCCCCATCCCGTGGTTGCATCCCATCCCTGCCAAGCCCAACAAGTTTCCCCTCTGCAAGCCCTTCGCTGCCTGCTTTGCGACACGAACCGGCTCAGCCCCGCCGAGCTGTCGGTGTGCCGGGGGCTCTCTCAACCCCTGCCTTCCCCACGCCGGTGCCCAACCACCTGTCCTCCCTCCCGCCTGTCCATGCAGCTGAACCTGGTCTCCAGTGCCACCCTCTCCAAGAGCACTTCCGACACGTTCCCCGATGGCTTACCTCATCCCCCCACCTCCGCCACGGCGCCCATCACCCCCCTCCGGCAGGGCCCCTCCGTCATCAGCTCTTCCACTTTACACAACGTGGGGCCCATCCGCAGGAGAAACTCGGAGAAGTTCTGCACCCCAATATCTTCAGGTGAGCTCCGGGATGGCCCTCAGCACCCTCTGTTGCGTGATCCCCAGGTCCCAAAGTGGTTCCCGTCATCCCCTGCCCCCCGATTTCTTGTCTCCCCTCCAGAACTTGCACAGAATCACGAGTTTTACAAAAACGCGGATGTCCGGCCGCCCTTCACGTACGCCTCGCTCATCCGGCAGGTGAGTGGCTCTCCGCACCGCGGGGTTCATCTCTGCACCCTGAGACCTGCTCCTGGGACACCTTGGGCAAAGCCATGCTCTCCCCCACTTTCTTGGTCCTGGGGAAGCCCCTGTGCGTGCTGAACTCCCATTTCTGACCCCACTGGACGGGCATGGAACCCCACCAGGGCGTCGCGAGTGATGCTCTTGTCCCCTCTCTGGTTTCCCAGGCCATCCTGGAGACCCCCGACAGGCAGCTAACGTTGAACGAAATCTATAACTGGTTCACGCGGATGTTTGCCTACTTCCGGAGGAACACGGCCACCTGGAAGGTGAGAGCAGCCCTGCTCGGCACCGTGGGGCTCACCCCATCCCACTCGGGGCTCACCCCATCCCACCCAGGGCTGCCTGCTGCGGGAGATGCTCCAGCTTATATGGGCACCTGTGGGAAAGGGCAAGTTCATTGCACAGCTCTGAGATGGTGCAGGAAATGATTTTGTGGAGGAATCCCACATTTTTCCCCCCCAAAATGCACTCCTGGTCTCTGGGGACACATTGTCCACGCACTAGGATACGGCAAGGGGCCGCGCTGTGGAAACCCAGGGCTTTCTGGAGGGCTGGGGCTGGAGCAGAGCCGCACGCCGCAGCACCGGGCCCCCCCCGCCGCAGCACCGGGAGAAGGGCAGCCGAAAGAGCGAGAGACTCGAAAGCGCGGTGAAGGTTAATGATAACCCGGGGTGGGCGGCACGCTGCGAGCAGGAGGTGCCGCGGCCAGGTCTTGGCGGTGGCCAGGGATGCGGGTGCTGGTCCGTGGGGATGGAGGGAGAGCGGTGGTGGCTGGGGCCTCTGTTGGCGAGTGGGAGCACCCATGGCTCCCCTGTGAGACCCCCCAGTGGGTGCCTGTGCCCGTGGGTTCCCCCCACCGGGTGTGGGGTGCCGTACGGGTGGGTATTGAAGGTTTTGGGCACCAAGGAGCCGTCTGTCACTGGTCTGGGCTGATGGGCGTGAATTTTGGGGCAGCGCATGGGTGCCAGGGCTGCTCCCTCCTTGGTTAATTAGAAATTGGGAACTGAGAAAATGCATCTCAGAGGAATGGGGGGGTTGTGAGAAGGAGCAGGTATTGCCCCGACCAGGAAATATTTATTTATTGTTTCCTGCTGCATGTATTTACTGAGACACAGCTTCCTCCTGCTCAGGGCAGCAAGAAGTAAAGTGGCAGAGGGAAACTAACCCTTAAAACAAACATAAGATGAGAATAAGGAGAGCAAGGGAGATGGTGCATTTTGAAAGGGTTAAGGAGGACTCGGTTATTCTGGAGCCCAGGGCCCCCGTGTGTTGCCGCTGCTGACGGCAGCAGGGGTTTGCTTCTCCGCAGCAAACTTTGGGAGAGTAACGGGGGTTTTGGCTCCGAAGCGCTATGGGAGGCCCCTGGCTTTGATATGGCCCATCCTGAGCATCCCCGCAGGCCGAGCGGGAGGATGGCGGTGGGCAGGAGCGGTCAGCGGTGCCCCGGCCAGTTTTGGTGCTGGCCATGGCCCTGCGTCGGTCTGGAGTCCCCCTCACGGCACGGCTGCCGCACTGCAAGCCATCGCTGCTGGGAGCATCATCGCTGGGAGCATCATCGCTGGGAGCATCGCCGCTGCCCCGGCCAGGCCCACGGGGACACCCCCGGGTTTGGGGAGAGGGTGGGAGGTGATGGGGAGCCTTGGGGG